ATACCTTAGTTCGAACTTACCGCGGTCCACACGCGGTCCACACACGGCAGGCAGGCTCCCCGTTGACTCCGCGGTACTCCTCTCGCCGAGCTGGAGTACCGCAGTCGACAGCGAGCACTTCCGGGATCGATTTATCGCGTCCAGACTAGACGCGATAAATCGAACCCGGAAGTTCGATTGCCAGCCATCGAACTACCGCGTAAGTATAGACAAGCCCTGAGAGAAAAAGTGCTGTGGGCACCCACTCCGCGGCTTCATTACAGGCTGCCCATCAAAGCCTGTGCCGACAGGGCCGTGCTGCCGTTCTCAGACTGCAGTGCTTCCCAGCTGTTCTACAGCCCAGAGCTCAAAGGGTCAGCAGAGTTTTATCTCTTAGCTATGCTTTAGCATGGATGGAGCTAAGGTGCTGTTTAAACCTGGCTTATGTACTGGCTGGCTGGCATGGCCAAAATGATGGCTTTGTCATGGCAAAGAATACCAAGTCACCATTTTAGCTGAAAAGCCCCTCAAAAGTCTTGCACCACACACCTCCTGTTTGCCACCCCATGCCTGATCTCACTGCATATGCCCCCTCTCATCACAGACCAGTAGCTGACCTCAGCAGGAGACTTGCTTTACTGCTTGTCCTTCCCACACCCCAGCTCCAGGTCTGATCCTAAAGGGGCCCACACAATTGTCCAGGTTCCTCTCCCTGAAACACCCACAGCCAGGCCCCAGCTTAACTATACCTATTTAATATTGGATCATCATTCTTTTCAACCCACCTTTTAGGGTGTTAGCAAAGAACAGACTTTTTCTCACCTACATTTCTATCTAGAACCATGAAGCACGTTGGCGTTTTGTGTTAATTTGCTGCTCCCTCGTGGTCATTTTGCAAAACTGCATGTCTGTAAATGAGCACTCACACTGTGTGTTGATGAGGGTACAGTATTATACAATCTGACATAGATTGGCATTACATGTGATATTATTCAGTATTAGGATTATTATTACTGGTAGTTCTTCAAGCCCCGTGACTTCCTTGCCCTTCCAGTCAGTCACCATAAATTCACACCTTTTCCTTCTTCCCTTGAGCTTGCTGTTTGGTTGTTTAAAATGACGCTAACATCACCTTTCCTGAACATGGTCAGACAGTTCCAAAGCGGCATAAACTTGGAATCTCCTTGTCTCAGCTCCAGCAATGGATGGTCTCTCTTGAAATGACAGTTCCTCCAGTGACAAGTGGAGTTGCCACCTTTGAGATGCAGAACCACCAGCCACTGGACCAGGGGTGGGCAAACCACGGCCCGCAGGCTGTATCCAGCCCACGTAGGGTGACCAGATGTCCTGATTTTATAGGGACAGTCCTGATTTTTGGGTCTTTTTCTTATATAGGCTCCTATTACCCCGCACCCCCGGCCCGATTTTTCACACTTGCTGTCTGGTCACCCTAAGCCCATGAGCTGTTTAAGCCGGCCTGTGAGCTGCACCCCATGGCTCGGCCCCACTCCGGCCGGGGACCGCACCACACGGCTCCCGGAAGCCATGGCATGGCCCCACTTTGGCTCCTACACGCTCCAATGGGAGCTGCAGGGTAGGTGCCTGCGGGTGGGGCAGCGTGCAGAGCCGCCTGGCCGTGCCTCCATGTAGGAGCTGGAGAAGGGACATGCCACTGCTTCCGGGAGCCTCTTGAAGTAAGCACCGCTCAGAGCCTGTACCCCCGGAGCCTCTCCCCATACCCCACTCCCAATCCCCCTCCCCAATCCCCTTGATCCCAGCCTGGAGCATCCTCCTGCACCCCAAACCTCTCATCCCCACGCCAAAGCCCACACCCCAACCCCAATTTTGTGAGCATTCATGGCCCACCATACAATTTTTATTCCCCAAAGTGGCCCTTGGGCCAAAATGTTTGCCCACCCCTGCACTGGACACTTCCCACACCTGAGCCCATGAGGGAGCCCTCTTACTGCCCCCTCTCCCCCAGGGTCATTTGCTCCCACCCCAGTGGGCAAGCCTTGGGTCTGTCCTGTTTCCTGGCACCAAGAGGAGCCATTGTGGTTTTGGCAGTTGCAGAGCCTAGCCCGACAGAGCCAGAGCTGGGTGCTGACCATGCTGCCAGACTCATGGCATGCACTGTAGTTACCAGATCACTATGCTCCAAAGCTGTGTGCATGCATACAGGGAATGTTGGCCCCAGTGAAAAAAAACAAATAAACTGTCCATTCAATCTTTTAACCAGCAAGGCAGTACAAACATCGGCAAGGCTGGTCAAAAACCTGCCAGCTGGCAACCTCAGTGACAAGTACACATGGCCATTTGCCAAAGAACAGAACTTTATTTTATAACCTCTTGTGGAAAGTTTAATCTCTTTATTAGGAACAGAATCAGCAAAAAAAAAAAAAAAAAAGTCCCGAAACAAAGAAAAAACAGGAAAAAAAAAAGTAAAATTAAAAACAAAAAAAGAAAAGTAAAAGCTGAGAGATTTCCCCTCCTGGCCTTATATCGCAGTAATAAAAATCTTTAACAATTGCTGTACAGCTGCAGGGAGGGAGCAAAGAGAAATGGGGTGTTCTGCCTGCCTGCAGAGCGTCCAAAGCTGGCTAGCATCTTAGCTTTCCCTGGACCTTCTCCCAACACATGAGCCAGGACAGGACTAATGACCAGCACCCAGTTCAAGGGGAGAACCCTACTCATGCACAGTCTCACCAGACTGTTGCATGGTAGAGTCTGGTGGTAGGGGTCTGCCTGCAGGGAAGGGAGGGGAGAAAGGGGATGCCTATGGAGATCCTGCACCCTAGGTTACCAGTTCCCACAGAACAAAAGACTCATTCCCCTATATTTCCTGGGTACAGGGAAGCTCAATCCAGCTCGAGTTCGACTGAGACCTACGCTGACAGTAGCGGAAACATCTCAGAATCGTGCCTGTGAAGAGGAGGATCACTGAGCCCTGGGTTTAAGGACCAGCCTTGATGTCACCCTGTTTGCCTATAGCTGTATCAGCTACAACGCACAGCAGACAGGTCGGAAACCCCAGAGCTGACTGCACCCAGCACTTCTTTGGCACTACTGAACTCCCCCACCCCTCTCCAGATCCCCCACAGTGCACCATCAATGGGTATCCCCACATTTCTACCTGGATGTGATATAACCCCCCCCCACACACACACACACACACACAGCCACGTTCATGTAAAGGGCTCTGAGCAACATTCCAACTGAGAGGGGATGGCCTAACACCTTGAGAAAATCCAAAGGGCCAACCCTTTCCCATCATAGAAAGTCTGAGCCTAACAGATGGGGTGTTTCCTAGCAGCAGAGATAGGTTGAACAGGCACCTGTGGCACATGACATCTAAGAACCTTCCCCTCCCTGCTACTAGACCTGCAAGATCTTATAAATGGAGTCCTAAAATCAGAGAAAACAGAACAGGAACAAATTACCCTGTGGCATCACCAATACAGAGCTTTGCCATCAAAATGTGCAAAGTGATTCTTCAGATATTGTGTGCCATTCTCTCCAGCTCCCAGACCAGGAGACAGGGAATCTTTCCTTACTGAGGTGCTTGCAGCCCACATCAGAGAGTGTGTACAAACCACCACTCAGTTCTCTTTCCATAGCATTGGGGGGGGGGGGGGAGAGGGGGAAATGTCAGTGAATGGTGACCAAATGGAGGACATAACAGCATTCACTAGAGAAAATGCAATGCAATGTTCTCAGCCAATGCAGCTCAGCCCTGAACTGCATCACTTGCTTTGACTTTAAACTGACCCTCGCCTCCACAGCTCTCTCAAAGCAAGGGAAGCTTCATTTCTTGAACCCATCCCAGCCCTCATCCCCTACCCCACACACTGCAAATGTAGCTCAGCCCAAACCAGCAGTTCCCCAGGATAGACTCACCTGCAGTTTTGCCAGTGTTCCTTTCTCCTGGCCTGTAGGGTCCCCTGCTACCTTGATTCCCCTTTATATCTCTGCTAACAAGTCTCCATCAGAACCCCACTACTCCAGTCCCAAGTCTCTTCTAAGCAAAGTCAATGGGTATAATATTGAGCAGGCTCCAGGATGAGCCCACTTAAGGAATTCTCTAAGCTGCAGCTGTCTGTGCAGATAACACAGAGGAGAAAAAGCCCAAGCACACACACTGGACCAGCTTAATCAGCCTGCAGTAGCCAGACCATTATATTTCAGGCAGTAATGCCTTAAGGATTACACCACTCAACAATCTCAGCTTTACACGAGCCACCTTTTCAGAACCACAGGTGGATGCCATGAAAACCCTTATGATAAAGGCAAGCAGCCCAGTGACACACCAGCTGCAAATCACTCATCTCACTATGCAATCAGCATCAGTGGAAGGAAAATATATAACCACCTGTTGGTCATTACTGAGCAACACATATACTGGGAGATCCAAAGTCATCCTCTTCCAATACGTCCAGCCATCACAGCTGGTTCACATCTCTCAGCATCACATAATAACTAGTTATGGGTGAAATGCAAAGGATTAGGTTCAGATAAGCACCCATCACAATGAATGCTTATCTCAGCCTTCCCCTGACCTCAAGACTGCAAAATGTGGCTGGAAATCTCATGAGAATAGGCTTTCCCAGGAAATTTCTGACACATCCTGGTTTTGGTCTCAGATTAAATGTTGTGTCCATCCTGGTACCTAGCCAGGAATCTCAGAGGAGCAAAGACATGAAAAATAATGGGCGGGGGGAGGGTTACCCAGCTCATTTCAGAGCATGCCAAACAGCTTCATAGCTCAGGAACAGTCTTATAAATAGGCAAATGGTCATGGAGTGGGGGGAGTCTTATTAATATTTGAACCCATTTGCCCATTGCTAATGATAGCGCCCAAGCATGGTTTTTAATAAGGTTTGCAGGCCTGTAATCTGTGCGCATGTGGACTTTCCCCCTCTAATTCAGTTATTTTGCAGACAAGTTCTTACATGGAATGAGACTATGGAATACAGAGGGGATGCCCCCCCCTGGCCCCAGGCCGGTACAGTGAGCGTGTCTGGTCAGGGATCAATAGGATCAGGGAAAGAGTCGCACAAAAATTCTTCGTTGTTGATGTCAACAACCACCTCTGGATCTGGTGTGACCTCAGACTCTGCCTCCATCTTGGGCTCTGCCTCAAGACCTTGACAGGTCTCTGTGCTTTCTGGAAAACAAGTGAGAAATGGTTATAAACATTTGCTACTGTCTTAACTCCATCTCTGCTGAAATCCTCACCCAGACTTTCATCTCCTTTTGCCTTGACAATCGCAACTCCCTTCTCTATGGCCTGCCCTAGTCCCAGCTCTCTGCTCTCCAGCACACTCAGACGCTGTTGTTTCCTTCTGACAGGCACAATGAAGCACAACTGCTTCAGCCCATGCTGCAAACTGCTCCAGTGACTCCACATTCAATTCAGGATCTGGTTCAAGATCACCTCCCTTGTTTTTAAATCCCTCTAGGGATTTGCCACAGACAACAGCACAGAGCTCATCTTTCTCTAGTTCCCTCTCCGTTTAATTTCTTCTCACCCAGAACTGGTTTCCTCTCTGTCCTTCAATACAATCTGGCAACTATTGCTTTGAGACAAGCTCTTGCCATCTCTCTCTGCCTTATTAACTTTCCCTATATTTTCAAATCTCTGATCCAAACCATATCAATTCTCCCTTGCCTATATCTCTACATTTAACTCCTCCTCCATTATTATTGTACTATCTTGCTCTGTAACTGTATTTTTTAACTCTGCCACGCATTTTAAGGGATACAATATATTTGTAAGATGCAATACAAGATAAAACTGTATTTTATTATGGCTCCTGTGGTAGAAGCAGCTAGAGTTAGGGCTGAGTTTCAGTTTCCTTTCCAACCCCTCATTTTTCACTTGCTCATCATGACTTTCTCAACCAGATTCTTTGGTGCTGGGATTTTCCATGCCTAAAAACCCCACATGCAATTTATTTATGAAGTTAGAGCAAAACAAGTTTCAGCCATTTTTGAATCAGAGAAGCAAGTTAAAAACATCCTTCTTCTACAGGCTGCTATTGAAATGCAGCACATGCATACCTCCGTTTCTCTTGGTACGCTGCCAGAAAATTTAAACATACCTTGTTTTATAGACCTCCCTAATGAAGAGAGGGGATTTTCAATGGGAAGAAAATCAGTCCAATGTTTTAAAAGATTGGCTCATTAAGGCTGGAATGATTGCACATGTGCATTAACAATGATACGGCCCTCTGACATAATGCTTTGCATCAGCAGAGTGCAAAGCACCTGACCAAGGAGGTCAGTTTCAAGGTCACCCAGCACATCAAGGGCAGAGCTAGGAATAGAACCCCTATTTCCTGAGTCCCAATCCAGTGCTCTGTTCAGCAAGCACACGCAATTTATTTTTGTGGCACCCTTGTCAATAACCGCTGAAAACCGAGGGCATGCAGTTTTGCCTAAGGATGATTGAACCAATGGTAGATTATGGACAACTCAGTTAAGGACGTCTCAGTAAAGGACAGTTAAGTTGAGGCCACAGTTAAAGATGCTGGAGATAAGGAAGCCTCACTTAAAAGTCTCCCAGTTAAGGCAGCTTCGGTTAATATGCGTTAGTAACGGATATGCTGCTGTTAATGTTCATTTAAAAAATCAGGAAAAGTAAATGCAAAAAAAAGGGTTTAATGCATCAAGCACTCACACAGAAGATTAAAAAACCAGTTTCGATCCCCACATTAACCTGGCTGCATTACACATATACCATGTTTTCCATTCCCGATTTCTTTGGTAGATTTAAATATGAATGTATTACTAATTGTGGCCCTGATTCAGGAAAGCAACACAGCATGTGCTCAAGTATCTCTGATTTCAATGGGATTTAAGCGTGTGCTGCTGGCTTATCACATTCTTAAGCACTGTGCTGAATAAGAATGATTTCTAGAATTGGGGGCAATGTTAGTGACTCTAGCTTATAAATATACTGGATATGCAGGGTGGGGAGCTAACATTACAGTAAAATTGCAAAGCTGTTTTTAAAAAGATATTTTTAATAACCAGGAGGTAAAATGGATGAGCCCATCCTCTGCCCCACGGCAGGAGGTGCATTAATGGAGTATTGGTGCACTTATTGGGTATTAAAGGCACGAGACCACAATGCACCGAGAGCTGACAAATGCAAATGTGGCTTAATGAGGTATTGACAGGACAGTGCTGGGAAGCTTGCACGGCCAGTAGTCATATTCGGTCTCCAGACTGTCCAGCCAACTCTTTCCACCCTCAATAACATACATCAATTTTATCCTCCTCCAATTTCCTAAACGAGTTATTTCTCAGACAGCTACAAACCAAGTCCCTGTACCAACCAGGGTTTGGAGGGCTGTCATCTGGGGCAGATGGTGCCTCATGGTGGTCTCCATTTGGAGGGCTCTTTGTTTCTTCATTGGAGATGACTGACATCGTCATTCCCTCTTCCTTTTCCTCCTCTGTAGAAAAGCAGATGAAAGACTGCAAGGAAGCAGGAACCAGGCCCCACCCTCCATAAACTCTAGAAATATTCAGTGTGAAGCCTGGCTTTTCACACTCATCTTGGTCTCCATCTCACATGGCCCTGGTGCCATTCCCAGAGCAGACTGATACAGGGTATTGACACTATAAACTTTCCAAATTTGGAGAACTGACAGGATTGCCACCTGAGGTGGCCTGGCTATGTCTGAACTCAGAGCATAGAGGGCCTGATCCCGACAGGAGATTCAGTGGGAGGAACAGGTGCTCAGCTCCCTTCAGGATCAAGCCTAGACAGAGCAGTAGGACTTCTTTAATGTGCCCCCACTGGTGTTTTCAGCACAAATAGCTCCTGCCAGCAAATCTGAGGTGAAAACAAAAATGTTCCTTCAGGAACTCACCAGCAGGAGACTTTTCCCCAGCAACGAGCAGGTTTTTACAAAGCTCAACTTTACTGGGACAAGGCCAGGAATGGAAGGAAGACAAGACTAGCCACAAAGTCTAGTCAGTACCTACGGAGAACCCAGCAAATTGGGAAATGGAGCTGTGTTTAGACTGTCCTAGGACAGACTCTTCTCAACCCAGTAAGAAGCAGAGAAATCCCCACTCACCTGAAGGCACCGGAATGAACTGCTGTTTGCTTTTCAGGCAGCAGCATGTTATCAGTGACGCTATAACAGCCAGGACAATTGCTCCCCCTCCACATGCTGCCAGGGTGTAAATGAACAAAGGTTGCTGCAGCAGGTTTCCTGCACGAAGGACACAGCATGTTAGTCAGAGGAACTGAAGCTTGTCCTCCTGAGCTGAAGAAGCCCTGCAGCTGAATTCAAGTCAGTGAAGAATACTGAAGAGGTGGGTGGGCTGGGGGAATTAGGAAGAAAGGATGGATTATGTGGTTCCTAACTGTGTTACAGATTTTCTCTTTATTCCCCTTCCCAGCCAGAGCTAATGTGAAGCTACCAGCATGAGGCACGGACTGCAGATGGCCTGTCAGAAGGTCACATACAGGTTGGTAAATATTATCCAGCACCTTGCTCATTGACTGGGGATTTGTCAACTACACAGATTTAGGGTAAGTCTATACTACCTGCCGGATCGGCGGGCAGTGATCGATCCAGCGGGGGTCGATTTATCACATCTCTAGATGCGATAAATCGACCCCTGAGCGCTCTCCCGTCGACTCCTGTATTCCACCATCGCGAGAGGCGCAAGTGGAGTCGATGGGGGAGTGGCAGCAGTCGACTCATCACGGTGAAGACACCACGGTAAGTCGATCTAAGTACGTCGACTTCAGCTACGTTATTCACGTAGCTGAAGTTGCGTAACTTAGATCGATCCCCCCCCCCCAGTGTAGATCAAGACTTATATAAGAACTGAATTTACTTCAGAGAGGTAGAGAGAAATGGACAGAAAGACAGGCAGATGGCGCAACAGACTTACAAACAGACTGAGATCCTCCAAAGCACTCCTCCTGTGTAAGGATGGTTTGTTCAGACGTAGGACATTCAGAAAAAAAACACTTTTTTTCCAAATATGATAAATGTATGGAGCCAAATTTAACCCAGTATAAATTCACTGAAGTCAAGGGAATTGCACCAGGGTTAGATTTGAACCATTGATTTTATTATCACTTGATTCCTTTTTCATCTACTATTCCCACACCTTGAACTAAGTATACCTGTCAGTCTGTTTAGTTAGTCACCTTGTCTAGCTAACTACAGTAGGTTGTTTAGCTAGCTAGTCAATTTATCTATCTACAGTGTCTCTCTCCACAGGGACCAAATTGAATACACTATTCAAAATACTTAAAATAATAATAATTAGGGCTGTCGATTAATTGAAGTTAACTCACGCGATTAACTCAAAAAAATTAACTGCAATTAAAAAAATTAATCACAATTAATTGCACTGTTAAACAATAGAATACCAATTGAAATTTATTAAATATTTTTGGATGTTTTTCTATATTTTCAAATATATTGATTTCTATTACAACACAGACTACAAAGTGTGCAGTGCTCACTTTATATTATTATTTTTTATTACAAATATTTGCACTGTAAAAATGATAAACAAAATTAATAGTATTTTTCAATTCTGTAGGAATGCATAGCTCCCAAACTGTCAGCCCATAGTCACGGCACACTGTTTCCATGGCTACAAGGCAGGAGTGGCCTTCAACCCAGCGTTTGTGATTAGGAAACTTATTTGGCTGATTTGATCATCACCCTCGCAGCTGGTGTTCACGTGCACAAGAGATGGGTTTGTTATCTCATGTTGATGTACACTGCATGCCTTTTCTATGCGCAAGAATTTGACCACTAAAAAGTGTTGTAAACAGAGTAAGCACAGGAAATAAAAGCCCCCAAAAAAGTTCCTGGGAGCAAAAAGGCTTTTTGCAAGAGGCTTGTGAAGCTCTCTGACTACCACAGACCAGGCGTTCTGTTTCCTTTCCTGTGTCGTCGCCACACAATTCACCTCATACAAGTACTGCAGTGCAATCTCTTTATCATGAAAGTGTAACTTACAAATGTAGATTTTTTTTGTTACATAACTGCACTCAAAAACAAAACAATGTAAAACTTTAGAGCCTACAAGTCCACTCAGTCCTACTGCTTGTTCAGCCAACTGCTAAGACAAAAAAGTTTGTTTACATTTATGGGAGATACTGCTGACTGCTTGTTATTTACAATGTCACCTGAAAGTGAGAACAGGCATTCGCATGGCACTTTTGTAGGCAGCGTTGCCAGGTATTTACGTGCCAGATGTGCTAAACATTCATATGTCCCTTCATGCTTCGGCCACCATTCCAGAGGACATGCTTCCATGCTGATGATGCTAGTTAAAAAAATAATGCATTAATTAAATTTGTGACTGAACTCCTTGGGGGAGAATTGTATGTCTCCTGTTCTGTTTTACCCATATTCTGCCATGTATTTCATGTTATAGCAGTCTCGGATGATGACCGAGTTCATTTTAGGAACACTCACAACAGATTTGACAAAACACAAAGAAGGTGCCAATGTGTGATTTCTAAGGATAGGTACAGCACTTGACCCAAGCTTTAAGAATCTGAAGTGCCTTCCAAAATCTGAGAGGGACGAGGTGTGGAGCATGCTTTCAGAAGTCTTAAAAGAGCAACACTCCGATGTGGAAACTACAGAACCCAAACCACCAAAAAAGAAAATCAACTTTCTGCTGTTGGCATCTGACTCAGATGATGAAAATGAACATGCATTGGTCCGCTCTGCTTTGGATCGTTATTGAGCAGAACCCGTCATCAGCATGGGCGCATATCTTCTGGAATGGTGGTTGAAGCATTAAGGGACATATGAATCTTTAGTGCATCTGGCACGTACATACCTTGCAATGCCGGCTACAACAGTGCCATGCGAACACCTGTTCTCACTTTCAGGTGACATTGTAAACAAGATGTGGGCAGCATTATCTCCTGCAAATTGTAACCAAACTTGTTTGTCTGAGTGATTGGCTGAAGTAGGACAGAGAGGACTTGTTTTTTACAGTGCAAATATTTGTAATAAAATAAATATCGAGTGAGGACTGTACACTTTGTGTTCTGTGTTGTAATTGAAATTAATATATTTGAAAATGTAGAAAACATCCAAAATATTTAAATAAATGGTATTCTATTATTGTTTAATCGTGCAATTAATCGCATGATTAATCGCGATTAATTTTTTTCATCGCTTGACAGCTCTAATAATAATTAATACCCTTTTAAATGTCCTATGTATCTTCTTGCTTATTTAAACTACTTCTGCATGCTGGACAGACATCTTTATCAAGCTACTTATAATTTCCAAGTCATTTTCTTTAGATCCCACATGTTCATAGCCCTTCAGTGTTCCTGAAAAGTTTAAATTATTTTGGTTAATATGTTTTATGATAACAATTATCCAGGATAAATTTCATCTGCCATCAAGTTGTCTAATGCCCAATGTATTTAGATTCATTATCAACCTTACAAAACCTGCATTTGTCCATTTGCCTGGAGCAAGTAATATTTTTCTGACTAGTGAGTAGAATATCATCAGTCTTTTTCTAACTATAATCATCATAATGGTAATTAGAGGGGGAAAGAATACAGCAAAAATAATCGGTCATTACAAAAAAATGAAAACCCATGAATTCTCTACATTGGTATTCAAAACCCTTTTTACTCACTGTCTGTGAACATTAGAACGAAGTAAATATTTGTTCACAGAAAGCAAAAGTGTCACCAGTTCCCAAAACTGGGCTAATACTCCTGCCAATATGTGTTCATACAACTTTTCCCCTCAGCAGTGCTTGCCCAACTCTCATGACGTTCCTTGATGGGTTTGTGAACTGGAAATAGGGAACAGATATTAGACTTTGTCACTGAGGCGGCCCCACAGTGCATATAATGCAGGGTGATGATCAGATCCCTGCATGAATGATCGCAGGTCCTGATCCACAGCCCATTAATGTCAATGAGGGTGTTTCCAACTATATCAATAGGCTCTTGATCGAGCCCGCACCGAACCGTTTGTGATCCATCCATTGGGTGAAATTTGTTCACACGAAAGGGACGTCAATTGTGTACAGTAAACAAATGAATGAAATCAGAGTCCGCAGACAATTTGCAAACAGGGAAAAAGCTTAGATAAATAAATAAATAATCGGTGGCAAATTGTTTGCCCAACACTAACAGTGAGGAAGGCTGAGGCGATACTTATGAGCTGGTTAATCTTCTTGACGATTTTGTACAGCTGACCTACGTGGAGGGTAATAAAACACAGCACAATACAGCAGCTGAGCCCAGGAGCCGAAGAACTAGGGTAGTGGGTGCTGGTTTATTTGTGGAAGTGCTGGAAGGCTGAGTGAGGAAGGTTTGTCAGGATAGGAAGAAACCCATGTTCTTTTGATTGTGGGGTAGCGTATCTCTGATTTGTCAGTGGGGGAGGTGCATATCAATTTGGGAAATACATTGTAGGACAGGGGTTCTCAACCTTTTTCTTGCTGAGGCCCCCCCTCAGCGTGCGATAAAAACACCAGGGCCCGGCGGGGGAAGGAGGGGAGCAGGGGGCTCCAGGCCAGGGGGGGAACACCCTTGGACATAGGCATAGTTTTACTTCTATTTGGGGGCTGGTGGGGCTCGAGCCAACTCTGCACAGCAGGGTCCAGGGAGGGCGTGCCACCTCCATCCCCTGACTCACTCAGGAGGCCACCCAGCCTGTCCGGGCTGTGGGGGGACGCACCCAAAAATATAACTCAAAGAGGGGACTCAGTTCAAAAAGTTTGAAAACCACTCAAGATGAAGAGAGGGGGTAGCTATGGCCTGTGTGTGGGCAGGGGGTAGCTCAAGGTGCAGGGATGGGGTAGCTAGGGGCTGTGTGCGGGCAGAGGGGTAGCTCAGGGTACAGGGAGGGGTAGCTATGGACTGTGTGCGGGCAAGGGGGTAGCTCAGGGTGCAGGGAGGGGTAGCTATGGATTGTGTGCAGGCAGGGGGTAGCTCAGGGTGCAGGGAGGAGGGTAACTAGGGGCTGTGTGCAGGGAGGGGGTGGCTCAGGGTGCAGGGAGGGGGGTAGCTATGGGCTGTGTGTAGGCAGGGGGGTAGATCAAGGTGCAGGGAGGGGGTAGCTAGGGGCTGTGTGCGGGCAAGGGGTAGCTCAGGGTGCAGGGAGGGGGTAGCTAGGGGCTGTGTGCGGGCAGAGGGGTAGCTCAAGGTGCAGAGAGGGGGTAGCTAGGGGCTGTGTGCGGGCAAGGGGTAGCTCAGGGTGCAGGGAGGAGGTAGGTAGGAGCTGTGTGTGGGCAGGGGGCTCCCAGTGAGGCTCCCAGCTTCGTGCGAGGGGGCACTGGGGTTCCCAGGTTCAGCTATCCGCTGCTCCTGGCTTTGGGGGGAGCCCCCAGCTTCAGCCCTCCGCTGCTCCCGGCTTCAGCATTGGGGCTCGGGGGAACCGGGTTTCAGGCGTGGGGCTCTGCGGCCCCCCTGAATGGGCTTGTGGCCCCCCCCCATTGAGAACTGCTGTTATAGAACATGGATACAGAGCTGGGGGGGGGAGAGAGAGGGAGGCGAGGAAGTCAAGACGCACTTGTCTCTGCATGCAGATACTGACAATAACAACTCCTCTCACCCTCATCCTGAGAGGGGCAAAATGAAGATAAACTGTGGCTAACATCACTTACTTTCGTTACACTCCACTTCTATGACGGAACACTCGTTGATGCTGTTTTTATAGTGAATCTGACAGTCAAGCTTTCCAGTCCCCTCTTTCGCCAAAATAATCCACTTGCCATCATCCTCAGTCTCAGTCAGAGCCACAGGTTGTCCATTCAGCTTCCAACGAAAGCGGAGACTGGAATGGTTAGCCCTCTTGCAAGGTAATTCTCCTCCCTCATTAATGTCGCCGGAGACATGAACAGCTGGGATTTGGGTTGGCTCTTGTCACACAAGATGAGAGTTATGAAAACAGGAGAGAAAACAGAGACAAGTTAACCAGACATGGCAATGAACATGAACAAAAGTGGTATTTCTGCCATTCGGACACAGACCACAACTGCATTTGCCATGTGTTAGTTTGCATAGAAATAAAAGATGGGAAAAAACGAGGTTCATCAATGCCTGTAATCCCTTCAACACCTGGCCATCCCTCTGAAATCCCACAATAGCCTGTCGCAACCCTGCAGTCCCACCAATTTCCATTTTCTTCTTCTGCAATCCCACAGTTATCTCTCTCAGGCTACGTCTTCACTACGGGGGGGGGGGGTCGATTTAAGATACGCAAATTCAGCTACGCGAATAGCGTAGCTGAATTCGACGTATCGCAGCCGACTTACCCTGCTGTAGGGACGGCGGCAAAATCGACCTCTGTGGCTTCCCGTCGACGGCGCTTACTCCCACCTTCGCTGGTGGAGTAAGAGCGTCGATTTGGGGATCGATTGTCGCGTCCCAATGGGACGCGATAAATTGATCCCCGAGAGGTCGATTTCTACCCGCCGATTCAGGCGGGTAGTGTAGACCTAGCCTTAGTCCTTCAATCCTACCAGAGTCTGCCCACCCCAAGGCAATCCATCCAATAGTGCAGTGGTTCTCAACTCGCGGCCCAATCAGCACACATGCAGCCTAGGTGACATCCTCAGGACCATATAGCGAGTATATATATTGTGCGAATGTGGCCCACATAACACATAGAGAGCTGCATATGCAGCCCACAGTGGTAAATAGGTTGAGAACCACTCCTTTTCCTCCTCTTGCAGCCTCACCAATGCCAGTTCCTCCTCCTTCAGTCTCAGCAGTGCCCATCAGCTCCCCAGCAACTGCAAGAGATAATTTGTGGGATACTCCCACCTGATCCTAATAGTCAAATCCTGCACAATGCTCCAAGAGAGGACAGAAACTTCCTGGTCAATATGCAACAGGAGAATATCCTTTCCACATCCCATATCCGGTGATCAATTCAACCCTGTGCATGTGATCAAACATCACTGTACAGTAGATGAGTATCTAATGTCATTTACACCCTGAAATACTTCTGATGCCCAAGTTATTGGCTATTATTCTCTTGAATGCCATTAATTTGAATTTCTCCAGTGGCACTGGAACAACTCATTCCAGAGTCTGATTGCCCTCTGAGAAGAAAATCTGTCACATGAATGTAATTGAAACTCCTGGTTTGGTTTGGTTAATTTCCAGATGTGCCCACATTTTTCAGTTGCTGATTAATTCAATTAACTATTTACCTGAATGGTCATGAGATATTGATTGGAACGCCTTCCAAAAGAAATGTAATTCCATCATACCAACAGCCCTTGATCTTGGAGACCTCTTATGAAATTACTTATTTGGTCATCTCAAACCTTTAATTTCACAGCATCGTAAATATATAAAGTACTCTTGAAGGAGAATTGACTCAAGCTAGAGCTGGGCAAACAATAGGCGGTAATTTATTCCTCACCTCTTCTTCTGTTCACATATTGCCTGCAAACTGATGATCATTCTCTTGAATGTTCCAGATTCTGCATTCAAAATTATTTGTAGCATAAACTCTGAATAATTTCTGGCCTGTAGCTTGCAGTTTGTTGAGAGTATTTGAAATTTGAGCTGTGTTGGTTATGTTAATCAGACCTTTCTCAAATCTCCCTCATTCTGATAGACGTCATTCATCTTAATTTACCTACATTTCACCCAAATTTGGAGTCTCTTCGGTTTTCTTGTTGAAAATTATTTATTTCGGAAATAAAGAATCATGAAACCGAGGTTATCAAAAGAGTTCTTTACACTAAATAAATGAATCCCAGACCATTTTAAGTTTCCCGAGTGAATACATTTGTGTCTCCATCAGTTTGGCCCATGACAATAGATTATTTTCTATAGTTAAGCCATGGCAGGTAGTGAAGTATGGACTAGACATACAAGTCACATGGTATATTTCTGTTCCCTGACTATGTAAGTAACTCACACATAGGTGTCTGGTGTGAATATTCATGTTCACAAGCTCAAAATTCACTTTCCTTAAATACTATCCAATATTCACCTAAAAGACATTGCCCCTATGAGCATTCCTGCCAGTAAATTCTTTCACTAGAAGATGTGTGGCAAGTGAACACATAAGGGTTGTAAACACACGAAAGCAAATGGATTTAAATATAGGAAAAAGTAGGCCTGAACATTTTCTGAACGATTTGCCCAATTCTCATCTAAGCCCTTTGGGCCAAGGAGCTCTGTCTTTGACCAGCTCTCAGCTGGAGTTCTGCTTGTCTGCACTTGGCTGGCATTGTTTCATTTGTCTTCACTGAGATCAGGCCACTTTGACATTTTCATTATAATCCCATAAACTCCATTTCCTCTTAAAAAACCTGGGACGTTGTAAAGTAAATGCAGCGTAGAAAAGGACCCGAGAGAATGTGGTGCAAGGTACCAGCCTATCTGAATCCTGGAGGGGACAGTGCAAGGTGCCAGAATGACAGTCCCAGAGACTGAAGTCCTCAGTTTAGCTATGGCACTGGTATAAAGTGGGCAATGGCAGTGCAAGCCTCCCCACACTACCCCACTGATGGGCTGGAGTCACCTATAGGCTAAGTGAGCTTGCACCAGCCAGGAGATTCCCTGTGTGAGGAGAAGCACCACTGACGTAAAGATGTCAGAAGTGGCTTTGCCGCTTCCCACACCAGCTCTGCTATCTCCTATGCCAGAGCTGTGCCATCCAGTGAACAAAGGGAGCGGGAAGGTTGGGACAGAGGGCATGGTGGAGCAAAGGGCCACTATGACCAACTTCTAAGTGGTACAATACCCCTGAGGGACCTGATGTCATCAGCATAAGTTAAACCTGCACACTGGGGGTCAACAGTTGAGAATCAGGGAGTGGCAACAGCATCCTTGTCAGACCCTTTCTCCATTGCACTGAGCTGCTGAGAAACAAGCCCAGGTGTATCTCAAACCTGACCCAGAGAGACCAGCTCTTGGGGGTGAGAAGAGAGTTCAGTCACCGTCATCCAGCCAGTCCTTAGCCTACCAGGCGAGATTGCCAGCAAGGGGTCAATTAGTGCCAACAGTGGCGATGGTTTTGTGACAGCTGCCACCTGTCCCACTATGGAAATGGACTAAAATCCACAACTCCGTGCCTAAAATCTGCTCTCCAGAAACACACAACCCACACTGCTGTCTCTGAAGTCAGGGGGTGAAGGCATCTTCTCCCAGCACCTTTATGCTCTCAGTGGGCTCAAAGGATATGGGAAGTTGGCAAAGTGGATGCAAAAAATATCCTTTTGTTTGCATGCAACACTATGGCATTCTGCAGAGCTGAAGACCTACAAACTGTGTCTGCTAATCCAGAGACCCCTACAGCTACTGAGAGCCAAACTGACATCTTGGAACGAACTGATCCTTCATTTAAGCTCTCAGATTCAAGAATGATTGATTCCAAACAAGGGTCACTTACCAGACACTTTCAGTAAGAAAGATTTTTTGCTTGTGTTTGTAAGAGCAAATTCATACTTTCCTTCATTCTTCCTTGACACATTCTTCAGTTGCAGAGATCTGCTCTGCAAGCACATAATCTTGTTACAATAAGTGTCACAGTCTGTAGACGAAGTATCATAAGGCGTGGGCTTCACACATGGGTCATCTCCCCAAGTTACCCTAGCGAGATTTTTTAGGCTTTGAATTCCCAAAGGAAAGTTGACTGAGCCACCAATGATTCCATTGACAGTGTTTGCTTCCTCATTAATGTGGCCCGCAGCAACAATAATAAAACACAGTCACTGATTTTATTGCGTGTCCATCCATTGGTTCTGATCTGGCTGACTCACAAAAGGCAAAACTCCAGATAAGACATAAAAATGGTAAATTGGATCACAGTGGGAAGGTGGGAGAGGGGAAGAGAGGGGGTTAAACCTGAAGTGAAGGCTAACTCTGCTATCCTGCAAAGATCAAGGCAAGGGGCACACCAGAAAGCCAGAACTACAGAGACAAAGACATGAGCATACCCTCTTCTTTTCCTCTTAAGTTCCTACCTCCAACAGCTCCACCTCCTCAGAGCTTAGAGGCTGAGACAGTATATAGAGTCCAACACTCAGAAGGCTAACTGGGACCAGTTCATGAATTAAATGAGCCATAGTACGTATGGCAGTAAAAGTAACTTACACCAATATAGCACCGTTCATCTGAGGATTTCAAAGGCTTTTGCAAACATGAATCAATTAAGACTCACATTGTCCCTTTGCATAGGTCACTACCACTATCAATGGAGGGACATGGTGGCTATTGCTAAATGACTTGCCAAGGTCATATGGAGAGTTGGGACTAGAACCTCAGAGTCCCACATTCCCATCTCCTGCTTTAACCAGCATGCCACATACAAAGCCTCCCAGGCAATCATTTTCAGCTGCGTTCAAGGCTGCAGTACATCAAGGCAATAATGCATTGTTAGTTATTACTAGTTTATAAAAAAATCTGTCTTACTTTGGTCTGATGGCCCCTTTTCGTGCTTTAGCGGTTACAACACTTGATACTTCCCAACGCCCGGTGGTGACCTTACAAAGGTATCCGAGCAAAATGAAGGTTTCCGCTCACCTGGGCGAATCCGTGCCAGTTTCATAAAGAAAAACTCACACTTACCATTAATCATGATTATTATCACCAGCACGCACTGCAGGGTAAAAGGAGATTTGAAATCCATTTTAAGGAGCTTTTTGCATCGTCTGTTAAGAACAGGATCTGGCTACACGGCTAAACGAAGCTGCTGCTCAGGAAATGATGTCAGAAGCAGGAACAAAAAAAAAAATCAACACACCCATACTGAATAACGTATCAGAATAGATCTTTAAGGTTCCAGGTGGCTGAACTCATGCTGCAGTGACATGAGCCACGATCTGCTTGCCAGGCCCCGCATCCAGGAGCCGGGTGTGTGTCAGAATGGGATTCAGACAGGGAGGAGAAAGGACTCTCCCAGCCATCGGATCAGATTTAGGAAGAAGCCAGTGTAAAGCCTCTCATGAGCAAAGGAGGAAACACCTGTTTCCCTCACTCCCTTGTTCTTTTTCAGTCTTTGGTTGATTGGTTTAAAGTGCAGCTCAGAAAAGAATGGCTATGGTCAAAGAAAGCAATCTGTACAACCACACCCTGTTTTCCAGAGGTATTGAGCACCAACAACTGCCACTGCAATCAGTGGGAGATGCGGGAGAGGCCATCTTTGAAGATCAGGCCAGCACTGTGAGCTTGAACTTCATGGTGTTCTCTCAGGGACAGACTCTTTTGTCAGTGCCACAGGAGAAATATATCATGCCTGAATGGGCCATGCACAACCCCCAGTGGAGACTGATGGCTACAGGAAGCTGAGGTGGGTTGATAAGGAGACCCACCAGGCTGGTGCTTGGTCATGCAGTGTTTGATTTGATATGACTGGCAGAGAGGAGACCGAGAGAGAATCAGTGCGTAATAACGTCTGGAGGCCAATGCTGTCTCACGTAGGAGTCTGTCCAGATTCTGTAGTATGCAGGCTGGAATTTTAGGAACATGATGCATTACCTAAACAGTGGTAATATAAACCAGCTGTCTACATGCCACAGCAAAGGGTTTAGCCCTGCTCCCAGCCCTCATCCAGGTGTCAGTGGGCCAGATCCTCAGCTGATGTCATTGCTATAAATAGAGCTACACTTATTTACCCCATCTGAAAATAAAGCCCACTAGTAACATTTAAGATCAGCCCAATCTCACCCACTTGGGGGGAAGGAGGATCTCTTGGCAAAGTATCGAAACTCAAATTTTTAAGGTGCACTAGGGTCGCAGTGAGATTAGGACATGACTTCAGAGTACAACTGGAATACAGCACTCCTCAACGTTGCTTAACTTCATACAAAGCACACACATCTCATTTGGCTTGGTCAGGGTAATCTGAAGGCAGTTGTGAGGGGTGGATTTGTGGATATTTTGTGTGTGTTTCGGTGAGACATTTAAAATCACACCCATTATTGTTTCAACTCTTACCATATTCGACTATCCCAGCTTGACTGCTCAGCATCCCGGCCTCTTGTTTTGTTTCCCTCTTAGCAATGTCAGTTAAAGTCAGTTCTCAGTTATCTGTATCCAAAATCTGCAAAATGGCTCAAGACCACAGCAGCTTCATCCTGTCACTATCATAGGCGCATAGAACAGACCCGAACTGATCTATGACATGACAGAAATAGCCCTCTCTGAGAAGAGCAGTGATGTGCATCTTCAGACACCCGCAGTGATGTGGAGAGGGGAGAAAGGCATTTACAGTAAGCACTACCCTTTCATTTCCTGCTGTGCTGCTAAAATTAATTGACGAAAATGTCATTTGCAGACTTAGGGCTACATATCATCCTCAGATGCTCACTTTCCATCCCCAGGGTATATTTTTGCCCTTACGTTTTGGGGCTGCCTGCCTGGTTGCTGTCTTTTTTGCTATTCTAGAGGCAAGAGAGAGGGAGGGTGGAGGGGGATTAAGAATGGAATACTGAAAAGATCAGAATGTTAGAAAAAAACTCCCAGGCAAAAATCTTCTAATGCTGGGGAGTCAGGAAAAGGATCATGCAGATTTAGGGCATCATTATCCTCTCAGTCACACCAGGGCAACCCTACTGAGATCATGTAGAGATTTACAGAGAAAAATTTGGCCTTCTGATTGCAGCTAGACTGTTAGAAAAGTGACTCTGTGACTGAGACATTGCAGTATCCTGTCTTTAGTCTGTCTCGATGATTCCAGATCACATGAGTTCCATTTATGAATCCAAATGGTGATATTTCTAACTGCCAGTGCCCCGTTCATCACCCAGCATGTGGGCTCTTTCTGCCTCTTGCTGCAGCTAGAACAGAGGTAATGATCCTGTTGACTGTACACAGGGCAGGACAGGCTGCAGCTTGATGTGTTGTATAAACCATCTCCAACCCCCTCAACTCCCAGTTGTCGTCCCCCCCAACAACTTCCTTTTGAATTAAATGGCTTGATTTTGTTTCCAAAGACCTGTACATTGTCATACTTTAAATATTTCAGAAGGTGGTGAACACACTACCTGAAAGATTCTTCTCAATACAATGATCATAATGAGCAATTATCTCGGCCTTTGCATCTTCAGACATTAACTAACAAATCCTCAGAAGTTAGAACCTCTCAGAGAAGGCACTTCCTCTTTTTGTGTACAGGCACTGAAGGCTTTATATAGGTATTAAAAAAAAACCCTATTGAGGTTTCAGATCATTAACAGAAACCACACCTAGATGTAAAAATGAAAAATATGTACATTTTGAAGGTGAACTGAAACAGTTACTTGCCAAGACCTACGTTCAACGTTCCATTTTTTCCTTCCACAGCTGGGAGCATCACTAACCACTATAGCAGAGAAAGGAGCTTGGTTCCTTTCACTACATTAGGAGTGGGTGGGGAAAGGGAAAGTTAGAGGCCTAAATTCAGATCTAAGCAGGTACGAAAAGGAGGAAATAAGGCTCAGATATTTTGATATATAAATGTACTTATTTGAGAATGCTAACTCTGCACATCTATTCTCTTTAATGAGTCGGGATCTGATTTTGATTATTATTATTAATGTATTTCAGATCACCATTAATTGGGGATATATTTTTAAAGCACCAGTCCTCTGGAACCCACTCCTATTAAAGTTAATCATGAAACCAGAGGGCAGGAAAAGTGGGTGGGTCTGCAGGAGAAGCAGATCTCTCTGCATGGGGACAGCACAACCAGTTCATAGGTGGAACCGAAGAGATTGCACCAAGGGAAGCTGAGTGTGGGGATAGTGAATCAAAAGGAGAGGCTGCTTTTGGAGATAGTACAGACAGACTAGGCCTCTACCGCCTCCCTGCTAAATGGGGATATTATACCCCTTTGAGCGATGGGAATCAGGACCAGTCATCTCAAGAGCTCTTCATTAGCAACTGGTTGTATTAAGAAAGTAGTTATCAATGGTTCACTGTCAAACTGGGAACACATACTGAGTGGAGTGCTGCAGGGTCGGTCCTGGGTCTGACACTATTCAATAATTTTGTTAACAACTTGGATGACAGGAGAATATACTTATAAAACTTGCAGATGACACCAGGCTGGGAGGGGTTGCATGCACTTTGGAGGACAAGATTAGAACTGAAAATGATAAATTGGAGAATTGGTCTGAAATCAACAAGATGAAATTCAATCAGGATGTGCAAAGTACCACACTTAGGGGGAAAAAATGAAGTGCACAAATACAAAATGGAGAATAGCGGGCTAGGCGGTAGTATTGCAGAAAAGGACGTGGGATTATAGTGGATCGCAAACTGAATATATGATGCTGCTTTGAAAAAGACAAATGTCATTCTGGGGTGTGTTAACAGGAGAGTTGTAAATAAGACATAGTATGCAATTGTTGCACTCCACTTGGCACTGGTGCTGGAGTACCAGTGCCAATTTTGGGCTCCACACTTTAAGAAAGATGTATATAAATTGGAGAGAGTGAGGGGTCAGCACCACTATGTTGCACAAAGGACACTTGACAAAATGACCGTACTAAGTGACAGACATTGGTGTGGGGGAGGGGTGTGTGTGGTTATGTCATTCAGTCATTCAACTTTTTGAAAAATTACCACAGACCTCAAAATATTTACCACAGACACTTGTGTCCATGTACAGACACATTACTGACCCCTGGAGAGAGTCCAGAGGTGAGCAACAACAACAACAAAAAGAGGTTAAAAAACCGGGCATGTTTAGTCTTGAGAAGAGACGCCTGAGTGGAAACAAGATAACAGTCTTCAAATATGTAAAAGGTTGTTATAAAGAGGATGGTGAGCAATTGTTTTCCATATCTACCAAGGATAGGACAAGAGGTAATTGGCTTAGTTTGCAGTAAGGGAGATTTAGGTTAGATATTAGGAACAACTAACTATGAGGATAGTTAAGCACTGGACCAGGTTAGCTGCGGAGGGTGTGGAATCTCTGTCACTGGACGTTTTTAAGAATAGGTTAGACAAACACCTGTCAGGATGGTCTGAGGGCTTGTCTAAACTGCCCCACAGTTCAGACAATGGGGGTGTGAATAGCAAAGTGCTGTGCTGTAACCCCCTTGTGTGGATGCTGTCAGTGCAAACTTAAAGGAGGACTACT